TCTTGCCGAAGAAATTTAAAATATGATATATGCAAAGGTTATTTTTTATGTTTTTGTCTTTAGAACTGTATTTTAATATGCCACATGCTTGACCAAAGAMATTGGTTTCCAAGTCAACTCAATTCTAATTAATAAACCACAAATACACACACATCATCAGGACACGTAATTAAACTGAAGTACCAGACGTATTGGCTATGTTCAGGGTTAAAAAGAAAATAATATTTTTTCTTGTTTCTTTCTCGGTCGTTTTTGCTTTACAGAAATGGCTTTCACGACGTCTTTCAGATCGCCGTTTCTCTTCTTCAACTGGAAACACGCAAAAGAAATTTCTCTATTTAATACAAACTGAGCAGTGTCTACCAACTTATTTAACGCAACAACAAGTTCTTGGAAACTCGACTGGTTGTAAATGTGATGTTCTTGTGTTAAGTTTTAAAACAAAGTGTGACAAAGAAACGACTGTACATCACATTCAGTACTTTTACGGTCCCAATACCACTTGGTCGTCAGGTAGAAACGCATTGTACCAACGGGCCTTGAAAAGAAACATCAACTACCACTACTACATCTTTGCAGACGATGACATACAGTTCGAATATAACTCTTACGTAAATCAGTCCGTTAAGCATCAACCAGAACTACGTACRTTTGAAAACTTTCTGTTAGAMGTAGAGCCGGCGGTGGGTTGTGTTAACTACGGGACACATCACCCAGCGATTGTAATCAAAGCTATACGAGAACACTGTTTGAATATGCCTGATATGTCTTTTCTTCCGATGGTAGATTTTGATCCTATTCTAAATGCTTTTCACCGGGACGCTTTTCCATATTTAATGCCATATACAGAGAAATACGATCAAGAAAGTTGGTGGTATTCCCATTTGGTCGTCTCCATCGCCATCGAAATAAAGTTTCGAGGCCAAGCAGTTATGTATCCAGGCATCAATGTTTTTAATCTTTTACACCGAGAATACCCTAAAAACATGACTCGTGGGCAACACGTGATCAAAAATGTTCTTGATAGAGAAATATCTGCAATGCCCGAAAGGTTTCGTGATCATTTCGCTGTTACAAGCTACATGGATTCACCAGATGACTATAATTTTGGGTATTGTCATACGACTTGTATGGAAATAGTACCACACCACCCTATYATACCATATGACCACTTTAAGGAATATCAACTTATCGGTTATAAATCATTAAGTGACGTCTTTAATGTTACGGCACTTTATGCAGATTTAGCTAAATTAATTGCTAAGTTGTTGGAGTAAATAATGAAAATCATTATCATCACCATCATCTCGCATGACTGTGAAAAAAAATTCTTAGTATGAGATACTAATACGCGCAAATTCGTAGCTTATTTAACAATCTGTTAGTTTATTCGTATTGCAGTACAAACTCCAGGCTACATGTATTTGGTTCCTTTCGACTCAAGCTCGAGGGATTCTCTAGTTCAATTCTTTTATGGACCACCGGTTCTTCTTGGGCTTCACTCGCCTTATTTATTTTCCTCAACAGACGCGGTCATACCAGTTACTATACCCTTAAATACACTCCAAAACCCCTTGGGACCCTTCRAACCAAATACACACTTCACACACCACTCTGTTACACCTAGAAAACGGGAACATATTGGCTAAACACGCGTGCTGTCCGCAGCAAGCTTAAAAAACAAATGTAAATGAAAATTTACCAATAAAAACGAATATTGATAACGCTGGGGTGTTATTTCCAACATGGCCGACGTGTGCAATTACATAAGAATTTGAATATTATAACGATAATATCGGCTTTAGTTCAGCTCAAAGTGCATCCGAAGAGAGTCTTAGAGAGTCGTTTATTTTTTAAAGATGTATTTTTTAAAGATGTTTTGAAGAGTTGCTTTCAGATTCGAGCACGGGTTTTAAATCACCAGTCTATATCCTAGTGTATCTCCTTCCAACCCTTCCCCTGCGGCTCATTTCATTTCAATTGAACAAAGTGTTACATCGAATCATTTTATTTTGAAAAGAAGTTCAAAAATCACAGTACTGTATAAATATTTGATAGAGTTAATCGATTAATTAGCTGTTTTGAAATATATTTTCTATCGTATAATTGCCCTTGTGTTGTATATTATTTTTACCAAGTAATTTCGAAATCCACAGAAAGCTAGAGTACGGAAAAGACTGTAAAATATATAGTATAGTATAGGCAGGATTCAACTCTTAAATATATCGAATCAATTTTCTTCTAAAACATTCTTGATGCGATAAATATTAACCAAAATAGTATCAAATTGATGTACTTAAAAAGCAGTTAGAAAATGAATGATTTATAATAATAATAATAACAAANCCTCAAAACCAAGCAATATATTCTTTTGTTTCATTGACAGCCCGAGAAAACGAATGGAATTTGAAAAGAAAGACAATGGAATTGATTTGAAATCTCACACTTTTATTCAGCAGAATTAGGAATATTTTGTGCGCAAATGAGGCTAACACAGAGCGTTGGAGAATTCGAAAATGGATTATTATAGTTGACCCTCTTTGAACGACCACTCTCGTTAGCGACCATCTCCCGTAAGCGACCACCTTTTTAAATTTCCCGTTTTGTTCAGTTTCTCATATAAACTCTCAAAAAAACGTAAACGTAAACGACCATCTCTCGTAAACGACCAGTTTTTCCTGATCCCGAGGTGTTCGCTTACGATAGAGTTGACTATAGAATAACGAAAGCTGCAGCAACGAAACGAACAATTAAATGAATTAAGAACGTCACTTGTTGATATCCATGTAGACTGAGGCGTTTGTACAAATGTCAGATAAAGCTATCATACACAATTATACATCGGTTCAACTTATCCACTCCATAGAATTTGTATGGATTTGCAGATCTATTGGATAATCATTTATCTGGTAGCGCCACTGAGCCTTTGTACAACCGCCCTTGCTGGTAGTATAAGAGGTGCAAAACGACATCACGAGTTTAAATCATGAATAAAATCAAAAACTATTAATAGCCAATAACKATTATTAGCCAGAGTAAACGTCTAGCTACTTTGGGGCGAGTTCCATATTTGAGCCTGCAGTGGACGGTGCACCCTCTAGAGGACTCGGATCTGGGTTGTGGGAGTACACTCTTCCCTTGCAACACCAACCAATGATGGAACAGAGAGCACCAACACCAAGCAAGGTGAACATGACAATCATGATTATAGACTTAACTGATACTGTAAAAGGAAAAAAATGAATCAACGAACTTGTTGGCTTTGAGAAGGGATCGCTGGGATTCAGGTGAATTGGGAAGATTACAGTTCCTTGCGCCACGTTTAGAGGTAGCCGAGCAATTACAAAGTGCGAGACAGTGGTTAAGATTACAATAACACCGATACCTGAGAATGACCGTTGTATAGACGTTAAATAAAGGTATCTACTTAACAGATGTCTTGCTTTGATGCAAAGGCTTACGACATGAAGTATTTGCAGATGCTTGTTCAACAATTATAAATACAAACTGGCAAATATACACTGGACAATTCTATCCAAGACACAACAATCGCCACAAAGATTTAGGGCAGTGATTTATACATCATTAACATAGTGACTTACAAACGGCTTCAAACGACGCGTTGAATCCTGGGTATTGTCCCTTGTTGTTGGTCTTGAATCGAATGTACATCCACGTACCATCGGAATAAATAGGTTCTGGTTTTGTACCACCACAAAATTTACCAAGTGAATCGGCATATTTGGTCATTCCATCGAACACCTCAACGAAATCCTCAGAACATCCAGAAGATTCTTCAAGGTTAAACGATTCAAAAGTAAGCTTGACCCTTTTGCCATCAGGRACTGTGATTTGCCATTTGCATTCCATGTCGTTATTATATTCCAAAGGGTAGTTATGACTTGCAAATTCACCAGAAGAAGACTTGATCTTTTTCAGATTGCCGTCTTTGCATGATGTGAATAAAGGAACTGAAAATACACAATATAGAGTGATAGTATACCGGATGATTGACAAATAAAAGAAGCATGCGTATTCCTTTCAACGGTTTTTTAATGCATTTTGGTGTAGTGATGGGAAAAGGGATGGGAAAGGTGGTGGAGAGGTCAAAAAGTGGTGAAGACATGAAAAGAAGATTCTCCCTCATCTTCCTAGCTGTCACATATATTATCAAGGSCGATCCTATTTATACTCACGTGTTCCGACTGTGCTGTAGGAAGCATTGAACCCCTTGTCCACAAAGCCTCGTTGAACTGAAGTAAATCGAACCCAAAGGTGTCTTCCCAGAGAAAAAATCGATTTCGGAGCATTTTTACTACAGTAAGTTCCCAATTTTTTACTCGTCGATGATGCCCCATCTCTTACTTCAAGTTGCGATTTCCCACTACAAGAATAGTCCAGGTCGAATGTATGAAAGTCCAGACGAGTGTGTTGTCCTTCTGGGGCAGTTATCACCCATGTGCACATCATGTTTGCCGGTATATTTTTGGGAAATTGAGGAGAGTAAAAAACACCACCACTGCTTGCGTTCACATTAAACAGGTTGTCTTKATTTTGAATTTTGCAGGGTCCAAATGACTCTTTTGAGAAAATAATGAATAAATCAATCATAATTTAGTCAATCACCCAATCAGCATTCGTGCCCGCATTATATCATCTATCAATCAATCAATCAGTTCATCCATCCATATCATTAGGCTGTCAATTTTAATAAAAAAAATATCCAAAAAGAAGTCGGCAGACTAGAAGGAAAACAATACTCCAATTTCGAGTTCTGGTTTGCTCTGTGTTAGYCTCAAAACCAAGTAAAATATTCTTTTGTTTTATTGATAGCCCGAGAAAACGCATGGAATTTGAAAAGAAAGACAATAGAATTGATTTGAGATCTCACACTTTTATTCTCACAATTAGGAATATTTTGCGCACAAATGAGGCTAACACAGAGCATTGGAGAAGTCGAAACTGGATTATTAAGCAAAATCAAATAAGAAAATTACGTTTGTATTTTTAGCCACCACATGACCGAGAATTCCCCGTCTACGTAAGAGACCAGTGTAATGCATATTATATCCCCCGTACTAAGAGCCTTAGCGATTTYAGTGTCCCTCAGAGATTATTGTATCCCTAACCATTATCATTCTTACTTACGCACCGTCTTCCACGTAATAAAAAACAGCTTTAAATCCAGGATACTGGCTATATCTCCAGTCACTCTTAAAATCAATAATCAGGTTAGGGCTAGATGATGTCAGATGAAGAGGAGCATCCTTTTTACCACAGAATACACCAATCTCATCTAAGGAATCAGTTACCCTTACACGATCGGCTTCGCAGTTCTTGGACTCTTGTATATGAAACATTGWWATGTTGACCTTTGCAATGGAGGCAAATGGTGCATCAAATCGGTAATAACATCGAGCATTATTCGGGTATCCCACTGGGTACCACGGACTCATCACTGTAGCGGTCTTTTTATTTTTAATTTTYAAGACATAGTTGTCGTAAGTAYAATGAAAATCAAATTTCTCATACTTAACAGCCCTGAACATCATAAGAATTCCTTTACCACGTTGGTCCGATGAAGCAGTCTTCATCTCAACAATCATATTGTTTCCTGATGACTGTAAAACATCAAAACTTTTCCCTTTGCACATGGTTCCGAGTAATTCACTACTCAGTCTTGCACCATCGTACACCTTTGCGTATTCAGAGCTGCATCCGATSCCGAGTTTGTTTTCCTTGGCACTAAGGAGAATGGTATACCCTGGGTCAACTGTTATGTTCCAAATGCAGGTCATGTTTTTCGGGTGTTTGGGCGTGTCCAGGAATTGGTAACCCGGTGAGTGGAATGATGCACTTTGTCCTCGTAAATGTATGGTACCAGTTCGACCTTCTCCGCAAGATCCACTTACAYCTAAAAAGAAAAATGAGCACAAATAATAATTGAGAAGCTAAGCTGATCATTTGACTCGTTGACATTTCCGTTAAATGAAGTTCCTCAACGATCTTCCATGACTTTTCGAAACCCAGATAAGTTATTAATATATACATATAGTTTGTTTCAGCAAGCTAGACRGTGCAATGCGGGTTCGGATCCTCGTATGGGATCTTTTGTGACCATTTTTTGTGGCGCCAGTTCTTTTGGAAATTCCATCCTTCGCTAAAGAAACCCTGGATGCTGGATCCGCCTTTGGTATTTTCATGTTTTGATGATTGCTTCACTGAATCAAGTGATGATAATGGATGTAAATCAATGACAATGATAAAGCGAAACACAGTTTCCAGTTTACAAAATTGGAAAAAGTGTGGTCGGTGCAGGACCCATCTCCAACTCCATTTTCTTGGAAAGTTTCTGGACACTTTCCCTGATTTCTACGTACAAACTTACCAAGTGGTTCAAAAGTATAATTTCCTTGAAAACCATATCCKGTGGGTTCACCACTTCCAGTCTTAAATTCGATCCTCATCTTATTTCCACTCGAAAGTGCGTAAAAAGAAGGCCGATGTCTATCGTAGGAAAAGCGGCACCTAACATATCCCAGATATGGACTAGCTCTTTCTTTGAATCCATCGTATATTCGCAGATAATGACTGTATCCGCAACCTGATTTGACGTCTATGTCAGCTGTATTCATATTAAGGTTGATGGCATAACCACTAGGGGCTATCAACTTCCATTTACAGTCAAGATTGCGAGGGAACTTGTTGGGGAAATTCAAAGACTGTATAGTTCCTTTGTTTGGTGCTCGAATGAGAATGTTCTGATTTTGGTCAGCAGTATTACTTGGGGAGCAAGAAGTACCTGTCCATGAACAAATGAAGAAAAGAGTTTTTAGTCACCTTTTCATACATATAACCCCAAAGGGTTCCAAAATGTATAGACAAAAACTTAACAATGGCAATATGTAGACCTCCACAGCTCGGCTTGAGCGGGCAACTTTTGTCCCATTTCAGACAAAATAATCTATTTTGAAAGCGAATTGATGTCTACAGGACCCATTCGGAACGGTGTTCAATGTTTTTGTTAGTGCCGTCCGTGTGTTTACAGGAACGGGAACTCCGGGAACTGCCCTCATCTCCGATCAGATAGAACTGGGCAAACTGCAATAAATATTCTAAAAGTGTATCCTGAATTTTCTTGGAATTCTGATATTATAATAAGCTAAGGATGGAAACTGCTGARCTGGGGCAATACAACGTGTCATAATGCTCGAGCACAATCAGCAAGGATTACTGGTATCTTTTATAAACTTGTGCATATAGACAGCTAGAAGGAMAATTCAAGCAACGATCAATATTCATTTGACAAAAAASAYAAAACTCTTACCTGGCAAAAAGGCAGTATAGTAAATGATGAAATWGTGTTTGAMTAGAGAAAYCTCGGTTGAATTGCTCAAGAACTTAATGTACATGGCGTTCCCCAAAGAAGTCATTTTGCGTAAAGTTACAGAACCGCAAAYATTTTCAACGGGATCCTTGAGGTCATTTCGYTCTAGGTCATAAATCTTCAGTATATCATCACTGCAMGACAAGGTGCCCTTAAACTCWAGCTTAATGATATATCCAGGAGGAGCAGTAATCCTCCACTCACAGTGAGAATCTTTTGGATAACTATAGCTGTCGTAGTATGGACTGGTGATGTTGTTCGTGTTTGTAGAMGCTGTAAGGTTGGTGACTAATCCATTTGCACAGTCTGTCATGAAGAAACGAGATTTGTTTATGATGAAACCCTGTTTATAATATATTTGTTTGTTTTATCAAGATATCTTTGAACTTTATCAATAGACCAAATTGGCTAACGCGTTGCTATAAACGTTTCCATCCAATTCAGACCACCCAGGTGAGTAAGTTTCATTGATTTTACAGTTGAGTTCTTGGAAACAAAAGTTCTTTTCCCCTAAAGGATTTGAATCGGATGGTAACGTGCATGTCAACGTGTTAGCCAATTAGGCCTATCATAAAACAAAAACAAACAAACAAACAAAGGGAAATAAACAAAAAATATAGAAAAATAGGTAAAAGAGTGAACAAATACAACATGATGTTTGGTACTATATACTTTTTATGTTCTATGAATTCAATTGTACTCACTTGTCTTTTCAAGGCTGGATATAGTTACTCTCCATGCCTTAAATCCACTGGTGACATTATTGACGTTGGATGTTGTTTTATATTCAATAAGGGCATAAGGACCATTTGTAAAGAACATCTTTCTTGTTGATCCCCACTGTGGATTATTACAACTATTATAGAGTAATTTGCTTGAAGTACTTGGACCATCAAAAACATCAAACATTTCGCCTTYTTGGCATACAGTTTTATTTGCAGTGTARTCAAMTACTAAAATMTCCAAAACCACAATATTGCCAACAGGAGCTGTGATGTTCCAAGTGCATGTCATGTTTGGYAAGAAGTTGGAGTTATTTCTTGGTSYCWYAATAGCATCACTGKCAGGATAAAGCGTCGCGTTTTTTWCCAGAACTGTGTTGGCGTTTGGTTTACACTCTAAAACACCTGAAGAAAAGGAGGATACATTTCTCTCAATTTGCMCTTGAAAYGTTTTGTCAATCATCATACAAATCAACATGTGAGCRGTAAATGTGTGAGGACTAATATAAAGATGAGTTTTGTGAGTATACAGTGTTTCCTTCAAAATTTCAACCAATTCAGTTTTAATTACCACACCATTAAACATGGCAAAAGCTTTTTGCCTGAATTTTTTTGTCTTTTTGGGTAATTCATGTATAGCTCGTATTACATTCGGTTCTTTTCGGGATAAGCTCGTATTTCCACTCGGCTTTCCTCTCGTTAGCAGTTGGAACAGTGGTTCGAGCATTATTCGGAGAGATTCCGATGATTGCGGACTTACTACGAAAGCTACGATAAAAGTAAATTTCAAACGTTCGAATACTATTCGGGTGGATGAGGTATGTCACGGATTATCGACAACAACGTTGAAGCTACGTTGTCGTCACGTGCGAGTCTAAATTGAAGGTAAATTCATTTTATATCATGTATTTTCACTATTTTACTTCTTAATACCAGACTCAAGTTTGGATATGTCTATCAGATGTTTGCTTTTAAGGACTTTTTCAAGAATTTACTGAAACGAAAWGAGTGTCKGRCGCAATTCAAMGTACTAGTTAKTTCCTTCGCTGTATCCATAGTTTTATTTTGATCGA